GACTTAAGGATTTAGGAATCGCTGCATATTTTTAATTAAAACGGGCCCATGCTTTACTAATGCTCACAGTTCTTATTGTCTTGAAATTTTAAACCGATAGTTTTTTATGTTCCATTGTCGTTTTCTCGGTTTTCTTAAGTTTTAATGTCTTTTGGGTATAAACGAATTTTCACTGCTGTTTTACTGGTATTTTCTAAAAAAATTAAATTTAAAGTTGAATGAGATTTCAATTTTGAATTTTCCAAGCTAAACTCAAAGAATGACTGAATCCAATTCAAAACCGGAATTTTTATTCAACCTTCTCTCATCGTGTTTTTTAATGCCTCAAGATTCCATCACTTCAAAAAAAAACTAAGCAAACTTGAAATTAAAAATTTGGCCAGTCATGAAGGAGAATTTTAAAATATTTCTCTATGTGTTCATTTATACATATTTTCTATTCTCTATTTTATTCCTGCCACAAAATTGATGGAGAATAAAATTAATGTGGTTTCCAACAGCCCCTATTTATTCAAACGACGCTTCAGAAGAAAAAATATAAGTCAGTACTCACTGCAGTGAGTGACAAAGAGCGCATTTTCTCGTCGACGAAAACTTGAGATCACGAACGGACGGACAGACGGACAGACAGACAGACAGACAGACGGACATGGCGAGCACATTAATGCATTTTTTCAATAAATGAGAAAATGCGCTAAAAAAACATTCACATACATATGTATACGTAATAATTAATTCCGAATAAAGGAATAATACTACTGATAGATTGCAAACAAATTATTACCGTCCAAATATCGACGTAGCGTCAGCTTCTCGTCGTCACAGACGCCCCGGCATTCAATCTATCAGTTTAAACGCCGCAAATTCCGAAGTGCTTCATATGCGTACCACGAAATGTATTTCTCCAGGAGGTAGTGGTACATAATTCAGGTTGCCTAAAATCGGCCAAATCCGAGAACAAAAAAGGCCAAAAAAGGCTGATAACTCAATATATACTAGTTTACTTGTAGGTTCTGCTATAAAAATTGCATTTATTTTCTTTTTGCAATATTTAAAACTTAATTAGGAAGTACCCTTATCATAAATTTTAGCTGGCCAACGCAATTGAGAAAAACTAAATCACGGAATTTGTCCGGAAAAAATGACCGTCTGCCAACCCTGTTTAAAAACAGAGCAAAGAATGAAATAATAGTACAATATGAAGCAATCGTAGTCAACGTGTTAAACTCCGCAAATTCCGAAGTGCTTCATAGCGTCGAAGGTGCCTAAGTCTTGGCGCGCAAGAGCCTCTGCATGCGGCTGCCGCCCCAACTTTTATTGGAAGTTACGCGATATTTTTAAGCCCCAGATCGATCCCGGCAGATACAGAAAGTTACCTCGACTTGCAAAATTTCAGTGCAGTTCGAAGCAACATCCCAATCTTGGTAAATAAAGATGCATCATTAAGGAAAGAGAAATAAGCATGAATAAAATGATGGCAGTGGAGGAAAATTATGGATTTTTATGTAGTAAACATGTAAAAATAATGTGTTCTTTTGTTTAAGGTTCATTTAGGATACAACGTTTTGTCATAATTTCATAATTATGTTAAATTTTACAATCAAATGAATATTAGTGATGATGATATTAGAACTAATGATGAAGTTAGATCGCAAAGAAATGAGTGTGCAATGACCACAAGGTGTGTGAAGTGAGTCCATTGAGTTTCCATCGGACATAAACATTCAAACTAGGACCTTAATCGGCACATTTAAACTGTACCGGCCAATTTCTTCAGGACTTATTTACTTCTCACTCTGGTAGAATCACGAACATTTAAACTAAGTAGTACGAATAAAAAAACTAAATCTTTACCATTTTTGTCTTGCCATTGTATGAACGCAAAACAATATTGTATTCAAAACCATATACAATTTTTTTTAATCGTGTACCATCTTTTGTATTGCACGTGGATCAAATGCACCTAATGTAATGTTTGCTGGCCTACATTATAATTGAGTCGTTAAATTGCATTTACATTGAAATAGCAGTTCGATAGAGCACAGCAATGCAGTGGATGTAAAAAAAATTTGTCTCAATTGCAGTTTGTTTATGCAGGAGCGGTGGCACTGCAGCTCCACGAGACAGGGAGTTCTTTTAAAGTCGAGGCAAGGCATGAGATGGAAGCGACAAATACAAATCCGCGGAAATACAAACATGGCTTTGCTTGGAAGAGCCCCAATCCAAACTAAGTCTTGACATATCGATAACATTCAGTGTTCGATGGAATAAAAACCAGGAGAATATGAGGGAGACAACGACTGTAGTGCAAGGATGCCACACAAGCGATCCTAACTGAATTGTGTCGTTCAAAGCTTTTAGTTCAGTTTGCGGTCTGTCTCCATTCAATGACTTAGATAAACAATGGGTTAAAAATTTATAAATTGATCATAGGGAAGTTCAATGTTTGAGTGAAGATCTTGGACGAAGCTTCTCCTTTATAAACTGAAAGCAATTTTGAATACAAAATTGAGAAGAGGATATCGGAATAAGTTTTTCCTCTGGATAAGATCAAGGGTTAATGATGACAGTAAAGTGCATGGAACCTGCATGTATTATATTGGAGTAAGCGGTCATATAATGGCTCTTGAATATATTGCTGATAACTATGCTATTAGAACATGCAATAAAAGTCTTCAAGCATTCGCTGAAGTAGTACGATTTTACCCATGAATCTGCGTAATATGAAACAGTTTAATTCCTCATTTAAAGCATCAACAACAGATTAAGGGGCATTGAGGTGCCAGGACCTCTTAATGAATAAAAAGCGAATCAAGTCCCTTCCATTATTTATGGGACAAAATTTTGCTTACATCGCAAGTTTCGGAGAATTTCCCTCGAAACTTGCAATCCCATTTGCCAGAGTATGTTCTGTTCAATCTGAGAGAAAAATCCTGAGCCAAAATATATTCTCAGGTCTGGAGTTGTCAATAATAAAGCCTCTCGCTGGTCATGTCTCGCCGACGAACTTTGCCGGTAGTCGGAAGAATGTCTGGTTTGAAGGCTGGTCCTGTTGGAGAAACATGACCTAATTGTTGGAGTATTTATAGAAATGTGTGTTAGGCCATTAGCAGCAAATTAACTTGAAATATTTGAAAATTAGACATAGCCACTGCTGCTTAGACTTTTAACAAAGAGAACAACGAGAATTGTGGCTCATCTTCCTTATTTATGTTGCCTATTAGCAGAAATGTGGGCTGAATTTTAGGTGAATCTGAAAGAGGATTGGCAGAGTTTCATCAAAACGAATAATACAAAAAATACTGATCGTATTTGACGCTCCGAAGGCTTAAGTTCCCTGGTGCGTAAATGTTTGTCGGTGTCGGGCGTCTTTGAGGCTTTCTTAAATTTACTGCTCTCGTCTGCAATTCGAGATTTTTTCGCGGTTTTGTAGGTTTTAGAAAAGAATAACGTATACGAGTCATTTAAGAAATTTCGCAATTATTTACATTCTACAATTAGAAGTATGAAAATAATCTTATGCTTTTTGCAATATTATCTGAGATAACAGCATATCATGTTTATTATTTTCTACTGATCTTTAATAAGAAATTAGAATCTAACCTTAATGAAGACAGCAATTTTGCTGCAGTGAATAATAACCTTACATGATCAAATTAAATTTTTAATCGAAGGTAATTTGCTTCAATAAATTCCTATTTAAAACACACCTGGCTAAAACTCCGGAATAAGAGTGAACAAACTTTGGTCTCGCTGTTATATTTGTAATGCAGCAAATTAGGAAAGTTGAATTAGTATCAGTAATTAGTTTATAGTATTAATTATTATCTTTTGCATTTTTTCATCACGTTGATTTTGTTTGGTTTTAAGCACTGGCTAGCATCAGGCCAATAACTTCAAAACCTAATGGCAGAGAAGCGGTCGGACAATTGCCCGTTGTTCTCGCCCGAGCATAAAAACGGTTAAGACGGTCACAAGTCCACAAGACCGTGGTATTGCGTTCTTAGGTTACAGATAAAAGTTCTTCTTAACAAACGAAAAATGAGTGGCCAGTAGACGTAATTTCTCCTCTTGATAAGGAAAAAATGTGTAACTCATTTATATAAAAGGTTAAAGTTTTTTCTCGAATCCGTTTTAGTTAACGCAGAAAAATCATGCCAGCTACTCCATGCTATGTCTTCAATTCGAAATTTATCTCTCGAAATAAATGTAGGCTATTCTAATATTTCCGGAACTTGTCGCTTAAAAGCTAAAATAGAGATGCAGGCAAGGAAATTGCATAATCACGATCTCCTATGAATCAGCGAAACGGAGCAAAAATTCAGAAAAGCTGACGTTAGCAATCTCGGCGTTCCTTCAAGTGTAAACACTCACGATTTAGATCGCTGATTGCCGGCCGCTGCTTGAATGCGAGGCTTCGGTCTAATATTCCAGATTCAGGACTGAGCGCAGCATGGGTGGAATGTGGAACAGTAAGTGCATCAACGCGCTTGAGAGGGCAATTCTCTAACTCACTGAATAGAATGAAAATACAGTAAAACATAGAATTCGGAGTAAGAATTCGCCCGTGAAAATCATTTCTACTTCACTACCGCAAAAATGATGCAACAAGTAGTCGATAATTAACTAATGATAAGCGGAATAATAACAGTATTACGGAATCTCTGCTGTGAGGAATGCTGCTACAACCATATCTACCAACGATATATGTCTTGCTGTATTTTCATTACTCGGGAAAAGGCGATTTTTCCTGCTCATGACCCTGTAAAAACGTTTCCCTAAAAACAGTTGTCCCCAATGGCGTTTCAGAAGGTACGAGTCCTCATTATAACTACCAAATCTCAATCTCATTAGCGCTCACATTGCCCTGGATACTGACTACTACTTGGCCACACGCGTCTTCTTGAAGATTTCCGTCGACCATGGAACCATTGAGTTCATCGTGCAGTGGGGCAGCACCAGACAGTGAGACCCACTCGACTTCCCTTCTCTTCGGTCAGAAATATTCAGCCTCAATCTGGTGCCCCCTCTTCTCTCTCCGCCGTCACAAACACACAGTTCGTTCAGGACTCTGCTCTGACGCTCGCCACTGGCTGTCTCAAAATGGCCTCCATTGACCGCCTCCACACTGAGACAGGTAATCCTCTAGCTAGCTAATGTCTGCTTACTTGGATCTCGCCTCCTGACAGTTTCTTGACAGCACTCTCCTTACCGCCATATGTCTTTAGGTATATATTGCTGGAGAATATGTTTTAGGTCTATATTGCAGGGCAGCCCATGAAGGCTACCCTGCAGCCTTTTAGTGGACGGCAGTTTGTATGCAGGTTCCTATGCGGAGGCTAAGCCCACTCCCGGTCATTTCCTCAGACACTGTGGAAACTGCCGAGAATAGATTACTCCTGTCTGCTCACCGCTGTCGACTCCTTCTAGTAACTAATGTTCACTCGTAACCGTCGCTCTATGATGGCTTAGCTGCATTCCGGCTTCTGCAGTCACCTTGCATCCAACTTTTTTAGGGTAGGACGCTTGCAACGAGCCCTCAACGAGCCCTCACTCTTCGCATTCGGCTGTTATAAATCGTGAAGTGATAGTGAAAAAAAAAGATGCATTAAAATTTGAATGCGAGACATAGAAGTAAATTTCAGCGGAAATTTTCGTTTTTAAATGAAAATTTTTTTTAGGATTTGTGACTTAACAATTTGCGTGAACTCTGGTGCGGCCTTTGTTCTAAAGAAGATCCATTAAAGACTATTGGCTGAGGGCGAGGAGGGAAAAGGTCCTTTAGGTTTACTGTAACTCGAGATACTCAAGTACAGGGTCATCAATATTTAGCGTTACAACTTTGAGTGGTTAGAACTATGAAATGAAACACAATTATGAATGTTTAAAAATGTATTTATGTAGGCAGAGGTTCAGAGATACAATTCCCACAATTTCATTTAATATGTCCACCATCAGCATCAGTAACGAGTTGTAGACGCTTAGAGAAAGCCTTACACGAGTCACGAATGACACTCTGCGGGATTTTGGCCCACTCCTTCAGCAGTTTGACCTTTAGGGCGTCCAAACTGCTATGATAAACGGTCGAGACCTTGCTCTCAAGGTATGACTAGATCCAAAAATCTAGAGGATTCAGATCGGTTGACGATGTGGGCCATTCATCTTTGGTAATGAAGTGGGAAACATTCTCAGACAGCCACTCCTGAGTCGATTAGGCCCCATGGGATGGTGCAGAGTCCTGCTGGAACGACCAGGGACGTTTTTTGAAGTGTTTTCGTGCCCAGGGCAACAATGCACCAACAAGGATGGCATCTCGGTAGTTCTTCTGATTCAATTTCACCCCTTTGTCAACAAATAAGAGGGGGACTCCTTTATGAGGACTCTGTTACGGCTGCCCAGACCATTACTGAGGTCGGGCATTGCTTCCTAGTCACCACACGGGATACTTCGTCCCATTCTTCGACCAAATTGGATCATTTTGGAAGTTGAAGTGGTGTTCAACATTGAATATCTTTTCATCACTGAAAACGAGGTTTGGCAGCGTGCCATCATGAATGCGGGAAAGAAGAATCTTGGATCTTTGGAGGCGTTTGTCAACAACTTGAGCAGACAGTTGGGTTTTTTTGACATGCTTGAATGGGGACAACTTTAGGTCTTTCCGGAGAACAGTCGACATGGTTCCACATGACACATTTGACTGTTTTGTGAGTGTATTGATTTTGAAAAACAATGTAACGCTAAATATTTGTGACCCTGTACAGTGTTGCCGGAGCATTTGCAGGTGAAGTCAACCATAAATGGCCTGCTTGCGTCTCTCAAGCAACTAGATTTATTGGTGCATAGGCCATGAATAAATAATAAGTGAAGGTTGCAGATGTGTAATAATAATCAGATTACCAGATTAAAAAAATGTACCACGTAATAAAACTAGGTATAATTAAGGAGCATGGGCAGACAATATATAACTGTAAGAAAATACGTAAGTAAATAGTATAAGTAATTTAGTAAAACAACAGAACTATACTAAATACTATAACGGAACATTAAGGTATCATGAACAAAACTTGATTAATTGAACAAGAAAATGAATTGAGTAGACATTACCAAGAACAATAACAATAAGGGAAATTCGTTTCCCTACACCTTAATATATCTACAATTAGTACGACGACTTACCGGGAGTATTGCAACCAGTCATGCCAAGACCGTGTGTTCACTACAGTCCTATAGAAGTCAGTATTCTTACCCTGAAATGAGACAGGATACCTAGAAATAACCTAAAAATGACAAAAAATATTTATGTAACATAATTATGAATAGTTTGGAAATGTGAGCATTTACTCTGCGATAAAATTTAATAAATAACTCGGATACAACGGACGAGGTCTTATCAGTGCCCTTATAGTTCGTGCATTTATAGCGGGTGCGCATCCAGCTGCAGATCGGCAGCAGCCACGGAACACAAGAGCGGCTGGGACGCGGGACCAGAAGTGAGTCCAGTAGTCACGCGGGACCAGAAGCGAGTCCAGAAGTCACGCGGGACCAGAAGCGAGCAGTCCAGGAGTCGCGTGGGACCAGAAGTGAGTCCAGGAGTCGCGTGGGACCAGAAGTGAGTCCAGGAGTCACGCGGGACCAGAAGTGAGTCCAGGAGTCGCGTGGGACCAGAAGTGAGTCCAGGAGTCACGTGGGACCAGAATTGAGTCCAGGGGTCACGCGGGACCAGAAGTGAGTCCAGGAGTCACGCGGGACCAGAAGTGAGTCCAGGAGTCACGCGGGACCAGAAGTGAGGAGTCCAGGAGTGAGACACCTGGAGCCACCAACAGCACCCTAGCCCAGCACCCTAGCCATCAACAGCACAGCAGCTTGCTGGCCACCAACAGCACAGCAGCTTGCTGGCCACCAACAGCACAGCAGCTTGCTGGCCATCAACAGCACAGC